CGACGGCTGGAAATACATTCGAATCGTGTTTAGATGGTGTTATTCTTATTTTTTTGGACAAACGTTTTGAAATGGCATGGAGAAAATCGTTTGATGCAATTCGACAGAAGTTTGGTGGGCAGAAGAAGAACAAAGTCACTCCGACATGTCAACAAATCTTAGTTAGACAGAACGAAGTTCATCTACGGAAAGAGGAAGTTGTACGAGCGACACGAGTCATTTTAGCTTGATAAAGAAAAGTCAATATTCACACTCTTAGCCTCAAGTTCTAAGAAAAACTCAGATCTCAAAATATTAAATTAAATTCCACGGATATTCTGACACTTTCACCATCAAGATTAGAGATTATTCGGTCTGATTTCCCTTGAGATCGTTGAAGTGAAAATGTTTTGTTATAAGATATTTCTTTCGAACACATCTTCAAATCGAATATCATTCAATGAAGAAGCATTTATTCGATCAACTGATGTCCGTTCAACATAATTCATCGAACTTTTTTTGCGATTTGAAGTTTCGCGTATTTCTTCTATGTAAATCTATTTTAAATACAATTTCTTTCACGTTTGATCAAATCGCAGCTGAGAAATTTACTAATTGTTTAGTCTGAAGTGAAGAAAATCGAATAAAAAAACCATTCGATTTGCAAAAACAGTCAATGAACTATTAAAGATTTTTTGACTTGAAGAGAATTGAATCGAAACAACATGTCGACAAAGATGTATCATATCTTTTCATATTCTCCCTCGAATTTTTCAAGCTCAAGGAACTAGAAGTGATCGTTTTTTTCGAATACAATTCATTTATTAGAGATTGTTTAAGGTCATTTCTTAACAAACTACTAGGACAAACTAAAGGAACACGGAAGCTGCATGGCGAAGTATTTGCTCTTTCTGATATGTCACTTGAACTTCGAGAAACATGCAGAAGCGGCAACTTATAATAATGTTCAAGTTCTCTGTTACACAGAGGAGAAAAAAATCTCAATTTGTTTGATGAAACAATGAAATTTTAAACAATCGGTTTGTTAACACGAAAGGCTTAGAATATAAATGGATATGTTGAAGAAGAACAATGAACTATTCGAAGATATTCATATTTGACTAATAATGAACAACATACTATTGAAAAAGAACACGTTTATCGAATACCTGTCCGCTTTTTCGAGTGTCAGTCGTTCGTATCTGTAGAAGGAATAGTAATCTTACACAATTCTAAAGTCATTTGCTGAAGTTGGATTTTTATCCTATATAAATTGTTTCGTCATAAGACACTGAGCCATATTTTTTATGTACGATACCTTAGAATTAGACATTTGATTTGATTTTAAAGTATTGTGTAAATCTTACTACTCGTTCACCTTGATATACGAAGAATCGTAGTACAAGACAATTATCAAACTAATCTTACTTTAGAATTTCCCCTCTCGACTACCCTTGGTCAAGTTTTTGAGAAATATTAATAATAAATCGATTAATTAAAATTGACCTCAGATTTCCATTGCTCGTCTTCATTTATTTTTTGTTCGCCTCTTATTTAGACCGGTCAGGAGAGTATGAACATCTAATCAAATCGCTAGACGGAATATAATGAAAAGAAAATGTGAATTCAAACGATGCTCGTCGAATAACGTTCAATTAAATTCGGTCGACATTTCCAATGAAGTATATCCAGATTAAAGAGAGGTCATGCCAAGATACCAACGATTCGAATAAAAAAGTAAACCATTTAGAACATCAAAAGCTATTTCAATCAATTTTTTTCAGTCTCATCATCGCGTATCGTTCGATTTGATGCACCGCGGTGATCAAAAAGAATCAACATAAAAGTCCACCCAATTACATTCAATATGAAACCAACAACGATTTCAGTTACTGTAAAATGGAAATCATAATGACTTCGAAAAATACATTTGATATCGTTTCATAGTTTTCACTGGACTTCCTTCGTTTTTTAAGTCGATCGAATGCAATCCATTACAACTATTCAAACGCAATCTTACAGGCGGGTTTAAAAGACGATTCGCCAACATCTTTATTTTATCAAACACCTTTAAAGAGAACTTTTCTTCATTCCTCTATACTACATGTTACGATTTGAATAATTATCAAATCTATCTATTAAAAAGAAAGATACTGATAGCGATCTACCCTTATGCAAACATCTTTCGCGGTGTTCTCGATCTCATGAAAGTTGTTCATATACTGAGATTTGTATCTTCCATAACTACTATGCAAGCAATAAGTTATACAGAAAGTTAAAATCAATTCCGAGCTCGTTGCCAGACACTCCTCCCATCGTCCTCTATTGCTTCAGCTGGAGAGAATTGGAGGAAAAATATTATTTCTGGTGAATTTCTTTATTTTATTAAAATAGTATAGAAGTATGGATTTCATATGAGAATGATGCGATTGTTAAGTGAAACATAGATAAATGAAGATGCAGTTTCATCGTATCTTCATTAAGATTCGAATCCAAGAAACGGTTGTAATTCCATTCGCAGACATTTTGAGTGTAAATTTTACGATTTCAACATTGAATAACCTCAAATCGAATAAAAGTTTTCTTATTTCTTTTTATAGAAAAAATAAACGCACAATCAGAGTGTTTTTTCTCGCATGTTATTGTTCTTTGCTACTTCTACTCGGAAATGTTCAGGTAATCACGTGGTCAATATTGGTTTCTGCAAGAATTTAGGTGGCTTTTGGCAGAACGAACGATTTTCATCTATGACCAAGAAGAAAGTGAGACTATTACTCTTGATCATGAATGGGAAGACAGATTATAGAAGGTTACTGGTGCTCCTACAGATCCAACTACAAGAATGGAGTTTAATTGTAATACATGGGAAGATGTGACATTTGGGGACTTTAGATTAATTCGTGGTTTTTCAAAATATCTCTATCAAAGTGCTTCTCAGCAATATAAAGTTAAGGATTCAAAGGAAATACCAGTACTTGCTGCAACAGAAGAATGAACGGGATCGAGACATGAACAGTTAGTTTCATATTATCGACAACATCTTTCATGTGACCATAGGCTCATATTATCAATAGTAATCATGAAGGTAGTCAAGGAAGCAATAGTAAAGATCCGTTTATTGGAGAAATGTAACTTTATTCCTTATTATTCTTAGTTTTATCGCACAAAAAAGTCGATAATCTTGAGGGCTTCGATGACGCCAGTGAATCAATGTAAGAAAGAAACTAACATTTACCTTCACGCTCATCGATTACTCAATCAGTAAAAGAGTTAATAAAATTTCAAATCTGATATTCTCGAACAACAAATTCATATGTATCAACTACCCGAATGTTTACTTGAAATTATTTAAAATAGTAATCGGTACAGGATGAACATTTTTTCCAATTCTTTTTCTCAAACCACTGTGAAATCTTATATAAATATTATCCTTATCAAGAGATCACATGAAATGTCAATGTTACTGCAACTTTTACTTAAATGATGTTTTTTTGTATATCTTGATCGATTTAGTTCTCTTAGTGATTGTTACTCTGNACCATAAACATTGATCACATGAACCATAAATAAGAGGAGATGAAAAATTCGGTACATTTAAATAAACATTTTGTATCAAACCGACTTGAATAGTTTGAATACAATTGAAAAGTAATAGAAGAATCAATAGAATGATCATTATGATGAAGTCAGAGTCGATTTCTTACACATTTGTTCGTTCTAACTTCTTTTTATTCGACAGATTTAATATTTAAAAGGAGACAAAGAATCATCGAGAAAGTCATTAAAGTGTACGTTTATGTAACGTGCATAAACAATTAAAACAAATAAAATCTTCATAGACGTCAAAAGAGATCGATCTATTTGATCGGGAAACTCAGGTTTCATTAAATAAACGAGAACGAGTTGTACTTTCCAATGAAAAATATGCCGATTGTTTCATCAAAGAAAACGTTCTTCTGTTCAGAAACAAAAGTCGTTTCAGAGAAGAGTGTGGAGTGAAGATAACGGAGTAACTATTGATTTTTCTGCTCCCAATGCGATCAGATTCACCCTGAAACCAAACACAACAAAACAGATAACCCTTTCCAGATGAGTAACAACTATAATAGCCGCTGGTTGTTTACCAACAGAGAAACGTTTCTCGCTAAGAACCAGATAAACTTGTAATGATTATATGTCTCTAAAGTTATACATCAATGATAATATAACAAATACAAAACATATTGAAGTAGAGAAATGTAAAAGGAAAGACCAATTGTATCACGTCCTATGGGAACATTTGTTGATAAAAATCAAAATATTCTCATTTCAATTCATCGGAAATTTGACAAAATTACACTTGAAAAATCTTTCTAATTGATTCAAATGTTCTTCTCAGGAAAAGAAAAGTTTGGACGATACTTTATATCAAATCCAATAGAAAAAGAAACCGAAAATGGCAGAAATGTTCATTACACTGTCCAAAAAACGATCAACTGTTCTCCGAGTTATCAATACGTTTCTTTTTGTTACGATAAAACTTTGTTTCCATTCTAATTCATCAAAGATATCTGCAATTATTAACAATAGAGCATCACTTTCGCTTATTCAAGTAATTATGCAGAATGAGTAACATGGTAAAAAATGATAATACCAGGTGTTAGAGGCCTATGACGTCATTTCAACACTCGAAACAATTTTACTTTTCTCAACGGAAAGAAATTTTCTCTTTAAACACATCACGTTCTGGATTTTATTGACTTTGACTCCGAATTTATCTTTTTATCTCGAACAATTTAGACGAGTGCTTCATAAAAACATCTCATTTCATTCACAATGGCAATGATAAATAACAAAAAACGATGTTTCGTTTGTAACAAAGACAAAATCATTTATTCTTGTTCAGGTTGTTCCAAAGAGTTTTGTTTATTACATTTAAATGAACATCTGCAAAGTTTAAATGAAGATTTCAACACGATTATCAATGATTATGATCAATTTAGGGATCAAATCAATAAAAAGCAATCCGTTTCTTCCTCAATGAAACAAATTGATCAATGGGAAAAGAAATCGATCGAATTAATTCAACAAACTGCTCAACGATATCGAAATATTTTAATCGAAAAAGAAAGAAAAGATCTCGATAAATTAAGGAGAAAATTTGATGAAATAACAGAAAAAATGAAAAAAGTTCAAAANAAAAGTCATATTCCATTGAATAATCGTTCATTTACAATTGATTTTTGGTTTTATACAACTAATCTCACAGGTTTTAAAGATTTGATTTTTGCTGGTGAATGTCAATCATCGACAAACGATCACTGTTTATGTCTCAATGTTCGTTATAAACTTCTTCGCCTAGTATTTTTTAGCGATGATACATTTGCCAAAACACATTTAATGATAAATCGATGGTATCACGCAACATATGTGTACGATTCGACAGTAAAACAACAGTTGATTTATTTAAATGGTTTATTAGATGGGAATGCAACTGTGAGTAATCATTTGTCTGCAACAGTTGCATTATTTACGATTGGTGGTGGACCGGCTGGTGGAGATTCATCACCGTTTGTTTATTATTCTGGTTCTATTGATCATTTTGGAATCAGTTATCGGGTTAAAAGTCCATGTGAAATCTACTTAAATGCAATACTTTTCTGTTATTTTCAATTTGAATCTTTCTCACCTTTAATTGACTCTGGACCAAATCTGATCAATGCCATCAATTCAAATGGAATTCAAACAATTGGACGAGTAAATCAAGGAATACAATTCTCATCTTCATTGTCATATGTGACAATTGAAGGAATTAATCTTTTCAATATGTTAAATTATCCATTTACAATCTCTATGTGGATTAAACCAATGAATTTGACTGGTGGTGGAACACTTCTTCATGCATCAACTCAATCTAATGGTGATGATTTTCTTTCACTTCGAAGATGATTTTCATTATTTCTTGTTGTTGGTTTTTTTAGGTTTGGGTGTTTGTTTTTCCTTGTGGGGATTTTCTTCGAATGGTTCATTCAATGTAAATTTCATTGATTCATCAAATCAACTTACTTCAATGACGATTTCAAGTTCATTTTCATTGAATCAATGGACTCATCTTCTTCAAAGATATGATCCATCAAGTGGAACTGATTTCTACGTGAATGGAACTGTGATTATATCAAATGCATCATTATCAACACGTTCGCCCATTGGATCTTATGTTTTTCTTGGTTCATCGCCAACAAATACGAGTTCTTGTCAAAGAGGATCGATTTCAATGAAACAGTTTGTTGGTGTTGTTGATGAATTATACATTTTTAGCGAAGCATTAACACCGAATGATATTTGTCATTTATCAAATCCTTGAACATTTCTTTTTCTCTTATTTATCATTAATAAACCGCTTTGAAAGATTCTCATCAACGAATGAAGGTGGGAGACAAAAACAAGTTGATTCTCGCTCTCAGATTTCATATACGAATTCTACTTTTGCGTTTTTCCTTTTAAAATATCGATTAGCGAAGATGAAAGTCAACGATATATTGTAAATCATGGCTATCAAATATCAGAAGCCTGATTGTTTTAGCTTACCGCCTCTGTCTTTCACTGAATAAATGCACTTTAACCGACCTCGTCATGTTTGAGACTATAAATATTTAATACGATATATTGAAAAATATAGACAGACAAAATATGAAGGTGCTGGCTCCTTCTGCAGCATTCTCGTTGATTTTTCTCTCCAATCTACACGAAATTGAACGACATAATGCCCAAGTTAACCGAACTTATACAAAGGCCGTCAATCAGTTTTCCGATTTTACTCAATTGGAATTCGAAACCGAAATTCTCACGCCACAATTAGCCTTTGCTCCTATTCCAAATCCACCGCCAACATCTGTGCAAACTCGTTCATCATCATCGAATCCTAATGCTTGTTGCTCAGCTCTTGGTTTAGGTGATTGGAATCGTCGTCAATGTAGTGATGATGGTCGTGTCAACGGTGTTGTAACAAACGGCTGTGTTCACCATGATTCACAATGTTGTCGATCATCAGGAAATCCAAGTGAATGTTGTGCAGCGCTTGGTTTTGCCTGGTGGGATGGAGAATGGTGCCGTGGTGCTCACCCTGCTGGTGGGGTAGACGCGGGAATCTTTTGTCAAATGGTTATCCCAAAGATTTCGATTGGACATCAATGACCTACCAAACTGTTACTAATGCAAAAAATCAAGGTGGATGTGGAACTTGCACATTCTTGCGTATGGATATAAATTCAAAGTTCACAATATTTTCATCCTTTTCTAATGTTTAGGGTCACCGCTGCATTAGAAAGTGCTTATGCAATTCGACATGAACGGAATGCTGTTCCTCTGTCAGAACAACGACTGATGGACTGTTCTATTCCATAGGCAAAGGCGGCTGTTGGTCATCGAATTTCGATGATTGAATCGCCGAAAACAGCTTTGGCAACTGAAGCTCGTTATCCATATCAAGGTCTTCATAATACAAATTTCAATGCACATGCATGTAGCGAACGTTTTGCTCAACGTATTTACTCATACGACTTGTATCCAACGGCCCTGTCGCTATTGCTATTAATGCTGATTTTATGGGTGGATATGGAGGTGGAGTTTATCGTGGTCCGTGTCCACCACATGTCAATCATGCTGTTTTACTGACGGGTTGGGGTACGGATGCACAAACAGGTGTTCCGTTTTGGCGTGTGAAAAATTCATGGGGTGCAGGATGGGGTGAAAATGGTTTTGCACGTTTTGAACGTAAACCAGGTGAAAATCAATGTTTTATCTATCATGAAGTGACCCGTCCGACTGCCATTTAAAAAAGACAGGAATATTTCTAATGAATGAAGGTACAATGTCGAGAAAAACATTGTTTGATAGAAATAAACTCCAATAAATAATCAATTAGAACTTGATCGGAAGGAAAAGAATCGGATGGTTCTTCAGTTTGAAGTTTATTCATCTGCGCACTTCCTATAGTTTTCTATGGTGACGTTTCTCAATAGTCAGTGGCTATGCTCCATCTGGTATATCTCTTTATCAAATCATAAAGCACTTTTAATCATGATGTTTAATTAAATTATCATTTGTTTCCTTTATTATACAATAGTCTGAGCTCTTTCAAGCATCAAACTTCGATAGCAAATGATATTAGTGTAAAGATTTGGTAAACTCTTTTTTCTTCTAAAGAATCATTTTGTACATTATTATTGAGCTTCTCATTTATTCAACAGTCCTCAATTCGTACTCTTTTACTTAAAGAAAAGTTATTTTTATCCAAACATAGAAGTCTAATACGTAGGTTTCTGTTTTGGTAACTTCGTTTTACATCTTCATGGATTAAATCATTGTGTTGTATTAGATCCCAGACTCATTTCTACTATTACTTCATCTTAGATTCTTCATCGTATCTAAAAATGATGTCCAATCGAGTTTTTCATGAAATTGTTGATGTTCTTTTTCTAATATTTTGTTTATTCATCGTAATTCCAACTTTAACGATATTGATTATCATTCTGTATAATTGGTTAGTAATCTTCTCATGTGTAATTCTTGTATTTGTTTGATTTTCTTGGCAATTTCCTATTCCATTCAAACACCTTCATTTATTCGACAGATTTATTTCGATGGATCACAATCAAGTCGATTATTCTGTCAAATTAGTGCTTGTTTAGCAACATTTCGTACAAATTCGATTATTATTCTCATCAGTTGGTTGATAAATCTTCTCATTGGTGTCGGAATGTTCATTTCTCCATTTGCTTATCAAAATGATCCCGAATCTCATTTTTGTACCTTAACAACTCATTATTTCCGCACATCATTTTCAATAAACAACCTTTTCGTATTCGTTACTGCTCTCACCTTGATAATTCTCTATGGAATTATTCTTTACCAAACAATTGATCAATTTGATTTCAATTCACGTAGTAGAAATCGAAAATTATTTCATTATTTCGTCTTTTAATGAATCCGTTTCGTCGAGCCTCTGCTTCGTTATATTCCTTCGAACTTTTATCACTGACATTTACCTCGGCGTAAATCGACACGTTAGACAGATTTTATTTCGAAAAAGAAATCAAATTTCATCGCATCCAATGAACATTAGAAAAACTATTCAACCATTACCAGCAATTAGTTGAATATCGTGTTTTTGTCGAATTCTGATGATTTATACACATCAGATTCCAATCGATACTAAGAAATGGCAGTTCGATCAGATCACGTAATGACAAAATTAACTTTGAAGATCGGAATTTGTTCAATGTATCAATTCACGAATAAAGATTTCACTAAATCCACCTGATGAAAGTAACAATCAGTGTAAAATACGGAGAAAATCTGATTCTGAAATGAAAGTGACGCAACAAATCAAGTAGATGATTTCATGCACTACTGAGACTTGACTCTTTCTCTTATAAAATACAAACATCTTCCCTTCACTTTTCTAAGTTATTCAAGTAGCGATTGTTCGGTGTTTACCTGTTACAACAATATTGCAGTTCGTAATTATGAAGACAAATCTCTTAAAAATGAACGTTTTACTCTACGAGACCTCTTTCGAATAGAAATCATCGATAAATGTGTTTTTAGTTGAATAAAATATCCTCGAACGTAAAACTTGTCATTTACTTCGATTTTTGTTAAAAATACCATCGACTGATAGAAAATATTTCTGCTTTTTCAGTGCATTACTTTGGAAAAAGAAATGACCGTTATATGTTTAACAAAGTAATAGAATAGACAAAGCTCTTCCTGTAACCTATTCGATCTGATATTGAATATCAATTCAAGTTTTCCAAAAGACAATAGAACAACTTATGCGTACGCAACATTCATATTTTTATTGAATTTCTTCTCGATTAATATTTTTCTCTGTGGGTCTCATCTTTTCATCTGATCATTAGTTGACAGCAATCGTCTTTTGTTTTTATTTAACATCGTATGACACTTAGTCGTGATTTGACGTAATTCATCTTCTGTTTCATAGTTGTTCTTATATAATATCCAAGATATTTAGTATATGCAAAACAAGTTTGTAGATTTTGACGTATTTCTCAAAAACAAAGAAGAAAAAGATTTTTGTCTCAGTCAAACATCAATTGTTCAGAAATGAAAAGGAAAATTTAGATGAGACGATGATCGTTTTAAGAATTCATTTGAATTTTCTCAAAATAACTTTTTCATGTGTTTTTGAAGAAAATTCCAAAGTGAAAAAGAAATTCTTTTCTTTTCGTTTTGTTTTGATTGTTGAGATCAAATGAATTGTTCGTATTTTGTGAAATGTAAAAGAAAAAGACGAAATACCTTTACATCGATTTGGAAGAGATGTCACTATAAAAGACACACAGGTTTATTTTTCATAATATTTTCTCATTTGTTGGTGAATCGTGATCGATTCGATGGAAAAACACGGTGACTAATTCTAGGGATGTAACAATACGAATACTTGCAATACTGGTATTGATATTAGTATTGGCCGGTTAGTGTTTGAGAAAGCTAGCAATATAAGCACTATCTATGTTGGCGTATTTGTCGTGTATATGTGTGTGTGTGTGTTGTCCGGTCTTCTCCAAATACGGTGAGATCATCAGTGTCCATAGAACGATGCGAAATTTTCTTCCTGATACCGTATGTATCAAATAGAAAAGTTCAGACTTGTTAGTTCTTCACTTTAAACACAGTGCCCTCACTCTCAGGATTTTGATACTACAATGGGAAACAAATGCATGACTATTTGAATCATTTACTACGCGATGATCTTATACTTGTTGCTGGATATGCATCCACCAACATGATCGAAGGCAGTCGGCAAACACGACCAGTGAAACAATCTGAACCAGTATCCTCCATTTCTATTTGCTGCAGGAAACAGCCTGTCAATACAGAATTAATTGATTAACAAAATTCGAAATAAATGTGATTTTTTTATGCAGAAAATCTTTTTGTTACACGAAGAAAAGAAATCTAGTGCCAAGTTTGTAACTGTTTTGTTTTTTGTTAAATTGCGTTATCTTACTTGATGTGAAGATAAGAAACAACAGCATTCGAATAGGCGTGCTTTGTATTTTTGTTTTTTTTTATCTATATAATCGAAGGTCATAGAACTCGATCGACACAAATGTCGTTTTCATCACTTCCAATCGTTGATTTAAAATCAACATCCGCTGAGATTCGTCAATCTCTGTTAAACGCTTGTTTCACAACCGGTTTTTTCTATTTATCCAACCATGGTCTTCATCCACTTCAGGATCAAGTCTTTGATCTGGCGAAAGAGTTTTTTCATCGGCCGTTGGACGAAAAACTTCGCCATGCTCTAAGTCCAACTTCATATCACGGTTATTTACGAATCGGTCGTGAAAATCTCGATTCAACCAATTCAAAGCTAATTGACGAAAAAGAAGCCTTCAAATTTGGCCAATCCGATTTGAACAACATCGATCAATTTCCTGACTTTTTTCATCATGGGGAGAATTTTCAATTGATTCAGACCTTCTTTCGCTCGTGTTACGATCTTTGTCTTCGTTTATTTGAACATCTAGCCGAAACATTCGAAATTAATCGAGATTATTTCACATCTAAACATCAATGGGATAAACCACCAGGCGCAACAATGAAATTCTTACATTATCCACCCACGAACAAAACAGATTCGATCCGAGCGGTGAGTTCTTTCTTCACCCATTTCAATGAATGTAATCCTTTGCTCAGGGCGCCCATTCCGATTACGGATCATTAACTCTTCTATTTCAACATGATAATCAATCTGGTTTGGAAGTCTTTGATCGCTCGACGAACCAGTGGCATCCAGTTGAAGCTCGTGATGATATGATTGTCGTTAATTTTGGCGATGTTTTTGAATATTGGAGTAAAGGGATGATTAAAAGTACAATTCATCGTGTTAATCTTCCGACTGTTGATCAACAGCATCATTCGCGATACTCAATCGCTTTCTTCTGCGATCCCAATGGCGATACACTTTTAACGCCGATACCTTCGAAGTTAATTCAAGATCGAATCTACGTCAAAGATCAACATGCGACACATGTCTTTCCTGATGATGATCAACGGATTTTAACAGCGGGTGAACATCTTCAGATGAGATTAAATAAAACTCATACGTATTGATTCATTGACGAAACAAATAAAGATCGTAATCGCATAGGTTATCTTATTAGTAGAATAAACTTTTCAATGAAAATATCACTTTTCTTCAAAACAGTTCAGTACTATCTAAGATAATACTATTCTGACTCTGACCTCCAGTAACAAGTAATTTTCCGTTCTACTATGCTTGTCCAAGTACCCGATAATCGATTGTATAATTCAGCAGCTTTTAAATACGCAGTTCCATCATATCCACCAACCACTAGAATGTTTCCATTTGCTAAGATGCATGCCGAGTGACCATAACGCGCATTAATCAGATTTCCAGTTAATGTCCACGTACCGGTGGATGGATCATACAATTCAGCACTATTCAAAGCACTACTACCTCCAAATCCACCGACGACTAGCACGTTTCCGTTGAACAAGACCGTCGCGGTATAGTGACTTCGTGCCATTTTTAGATTTCCTGTCAATGTCCATATGTTTGTCGATGGATCGTATATCTCTGCACTCTTAAGAACATTCACATCCATCCCACCAGCAACTAAAACTTTTCCGTTGTTTAAAACTGATGCTGTGTGATCGTCTCGTGCGTTATTCAAACTGCCTGTAAATGTCCAAGTGTCTGTTAATGGATCGTATAATTCAGAAGAACTCAACGCAACAGTATTGCGTCCACCGATAGCTAAGACTGCTCCATTAACCAATGTAACTGATCGATGATCTTCTCGTGCGATATTCAAACGTTTACCAGTTGTCCAAATATTCGCCAATGGATCATACAAATTAACATTCACCATAGCACCATTCAGATTATATCCACCGACAATAAGTACTTGTCCATTGGATAGTACCGACGCTGTATGGTCTTCTCGTCCAACATTGAACTGTCTCGTCAAAGTCCAAACGCCTGTCGACGGATTGTATAACTCCGAAGTATTGAGATAACCATTGGAATTAGAGCCACCAACAACTAAGACAGATCCATCGAATAGGATCGATGCTGTGTGACCATACCGTGCGTTATTCATACTTCCAGAAGATATCCAAATTTAATAGAACACATAATATTATCTGTGTAGCTTCAAATCAAGCTTATTACTGACCTGGCACGGCTGTTGTTGACGTTGATGTTGGTAAGGATGTTGTTCCTATATCGTATAATAACGAAGTAAAACATTTGAAAAAGTTTACTAATCGTCAAAATTACTATTTGATACTTACTGAGTGCTATTACTACTGTTGATTGATTAGTAAATATGAGAGACGAATTGGGATAAAAATCAATTGTAGTTGTGTTTGTATTTGAATGAAATAAATGGCAGGATTGATTGTTCAAGTAATAATTCAATGATGATATGAAATTGTTGGATTGAAGCATCTGGCAGATACATTCATTTCGAGTTTTATTCAGTAGTATTTGAGAAACATTTCCAATATTCCGATAATTTTCTATTTTGCCGATTAAAATAGAATTTACAGCAGAAAATACTGAGAAGAAAACGAGTATTTGCCGCATCTACGCAGTTTGTAAAATATTTCAATGCTGATTTTCTCTTCTTCTACACTTCTCAAATCTAATTCACCAAATGAATATCGATGGAAACGCAAATGCTCTTTCTGCATAAAAGAGTACGTCACAGGTGAAACCGATGAAAACTAGTTGAGTAAAAATATTTTTAATTATAATTATTCTAAAAGGAAAAAACAAAAACTCTACTTCAGACAACTATAATATTATACAATGCAAAAGTCATGGAGATGACGTGAACCCATAGAAACTGTTGCACGATTCTTCCTCTTCTCTTTAGATAGACAACAGTTGGGCCGTTTCATTAAAGACTCTATCGTGATTATGCCGCTATTGTTGAAAAAAAAACCGGTGGTTTCAGATTAGACAGAAAGAATGTTAAGAGACCTTTATATCGACCTACCAAATCGCCAAATATTGTCATAAAGCAACCAAATATTTCTTTGACTTTGACTACTTTAGACAGATAACAACAGACGTCTCAATTATACATTGTATGAAGTTAGGTCGGTGTCAGTCGCTGATTCCCCGGTAAATACATACTCCAAAAGTCAGCTACTGAGCATCGTCTTTTGATACGCTATAGCTTGGAGACCAAAACACAAACATAAGATATGAGATTACCTATATGATGACTCTAATTCTTGCTTAGAACGACATGGCAATACAGTATAAGTGTATGTATCGATTCTGTTACTCTATAGGATGAGACAATCGCGTGAAAATTTCGCCAGTCATTTTATTCTGTCAGTCACAGCACGAAAAAGATCGATTAATATTACGTAATTTTAAAACAATAGCATGCTATATATCACTCTTGATGACGATGATTTATTAGCATTTCTAGATATATTTGAACTCGATACGATCAATAGTTCTTCGGTTATGAAATAAAAGTTATAATCTTCTTTTCCAAACAGTACCTAATGTAATAATATATTCAAATTTTCGACGATGTTCTCGTATCATAAATGGGATTTCTTCTTCATGTATCAAATCGAATTCCGTGAGAATATCTTGAATTTCTTTCACACCATTTATCCATTCAGTTTGTGGTGTGTATTGAGGCAGCCAGCTGAATGGCGTTGTCATCACTAAGATACCTCCCTTCTTCACTAGTCCACCATTACCTTGCATACGTTTCAAACAAGTCGATGGTTTCGGGAGACGACATAAGACGTTTGCCAAGACGACCGCATCGAAATCTTTCAGATCAGAACGCAGGGAACATGCATCACCAACTTCGAACTGTATTCGATCTCGATCGATAGAAGGGTTCACGACAGCTGTTAAGCTTGTCCGCTGTATTCCTTGATCCTTTCGAGTGTATTCGAATGTTCCATGCTGCTTCAAATATCGAGCAACTGAAATAAAGTTCTGACTGTAATCGATTCCAATAACTTCGTTAAAAGTAATTGCTAATTCAAAAGCTGTACGACCAACAGCACAGCCTAAATCCAATGCACGATCAGTATGAGTGGCAAAGCATTTGACGAGTTCAGCACAGGCGACAGGTAAGTCAGGTACTTTGGGAAAGATCATTTTTGCAGAGATCAGAGGATCAAAACGTTGTTGTTCTTCGCCCCAATGCATAAGAACGTACATATCTACCATTTGTTGTGTTTCGTAAGTATTTGTCGTTGAGTTTTTAATAAATCGAGCATTACAAGTACATATATCGTCGCTCCGTGCAATACGAAAACCGGCATGTTGCATGAAATGTGGACGAAAATGAAATCTTGCCCAAACACTTGCTTCATCACCAGTACTTACAAATGAACCACCTAAAATCATGTGATGTTCTCCATCATAACATGGCACGCTAAAATCATCGTAGTATGGATGTGGTTGACTGCCTTCCAGAGGATGAAAGTGATCTTCACACCATTGCCAAACATTTCCGAAGACATCGTAGAATCCCTTGTCATTAACTTGACTAGCCGTAACTGCTACTTCTCCACCATGACGTAAATTATTGTTCCATTGATGATCTTTGCCATCATGTATGAGATGATGTTCACTTTCTGTCAATAGACGATAAGGCATCACACTTTTCTCTTGCTCCGTGCGCCAAGCACAGTACGCTTTTGCTTCGTGAAAATTAACACAAACCGGCGCATTCCATTGCATTTCAACGATTTCGAAAAGCGTACGTAATTTATATTGATGCAGCCCAGATGGACCAGTGGGTACCCAGAATGATGGTGCTTTAACATTACGAAAAGAGCGCCACGTCCAACCGTCAGTAGACCAATATCGTTCTTGTATATAACCACTTCCGGTAACAAATTGATAAAATTCTTTGTTACTTATCAGCATACTGCTTGCACTGAAAGGTTGAACAACTCGTTTTTCCTCACCATACTCATTATCCCATCCAAAAGTCGGCCAAGTAATCGGTTTACCTAACTTAACTTCAGATTTACTTAAATTAATCATCAAGTTCTCTTTCGATGGTTCATCTTTCGTCTCCAACAATAGACTTGGCCAGATTTTATTTACACGTACGAATTCAATAGGTAATTCTCTAATCAGCACCGAAGATGTTTCCAGATGTATACGTTCGTGTTCAAAGCCCATTAATAACGCCCACGTTGGTTTATCAATGGTAATTGGCATATGCTGTTCATCAAACAATGGATGTGTTTCAATTAATTCACGAATAATTTGATAAGCTTCGCGGCGGTATTGATGTACTTCATCTATTGATGGCCAAACGTCATCATGACCTTCATACAAATCATCCCATCGCATTTCATCAACACCAGTTTCGAACAATCGTTCGAATCCACTACTTATTCCATTAACTAGTAGACCAGCTACACGTAACTTATTCATGTACAGTACAGCTGGATGGCCATAATAGAATATCATCGGGTGACGTAACTTATGGTACGGCCGACGGTAATAAGCTTCTTCATTAGCTAACCCGTCGAATAGTACTTCTGTTAATGTCCATGTATTGTCAAAATAATCGAGTAATTCTCTTCGAGTAGCATTTGTTTTCACTTGTGGTAGCGATTTTATAGTTCCATCTGATTCCACACCAGGACAAATGCCATAAACTGGCGATTTGCCTGTCCAGAATGATGGAGAATGAAGAATAAAATTACTAGACGCAACAACAGACATATCTGGATCAAAAAAGTAGACGATAGAAAAAAAGACACTTTTGATCGCTTGCTAATGAAATCAGCATGATGACAGGGCGAAATAAATACTCACAGCAGTGTGTGGGTGACGTTCTAATTATTGAGTTACTCATATATGATGTAAGCAATGCTAATTAAAAATGATTCGCATCTAGTTCCGTCATAAGAATGAGCAAAGTTCGTTAACGGACGACTCCCATCAGTTCAACTATTTTTATCACTCATGATAACAAAGATATTTAAAAGGAAAAGTGAAGGTCGTTTTTTTCCGGTTAAAATCAAACATTTTACTCCTACTTGAATATGCATTAATATTAAACGCAGAATAGAAAGGTGTGCGTCGTCAGAATAAACAATTCGTATTTACCCTTTTCCCAATATGACAAAGCACTTTTACATGCTCGTCCATACAAACGTATCCCTTCGCTCTCTGACGTTTGGTTTTTTTTAGATGAATACATTACTCATCCATGTCATGTCTATCTTCTGCTTTGTATTTTGCATGAGACGAGAGAAAACAGGTAAGCTACACGCCACTGCGCATTGACCAGAAAAATGTTTTTGTGTGTCATTTCATTGAAACGCGAAAAGTATGAGCAACTTTAAGTTCGATGTCACAGGCGATTTTGTATATTATATCGATTATGTAAGAAGCTGATTAGAAATGTTGTCTTATATAACTTCGAAGGTAAAATGAATAAGAAAAAAGGTGAATAACGCGATGAATGTTTTCGATGCATTCAGGGATTAGATATAGTTCGTGACAAGGCAAATGATGATATAAGGTGAAACTAGAAAGAGAAGAAACTAAAAGTTAAAGGTACTTGTTTACGTTGTTGAAATTGTTTATGTAATAGTCGTCGATCACGTGTTCGAACGTTTTGAAAAAATCGATATTGACGAGTTAATTTAACGAGGATAAGAACTGCGGCGAACAAATCAATCAAAAACGGAATCAAGAAATGGTTCATGCATTGCTTTTTCGACGATAAAGAGAAGGGCAAGAACGATAATATACTTTACAATATTTTATGTATTTTCTCCCCTAAACCGCTCTTGTTGTAATGTTAATAGTGTTTATTTGATAGTAACGCACGCATTTAATCATTGATCCGTACTAAGACTAATTCGAAAAACGATATTCACGAAAAGACGGTCAAAACATAGAAATAACTGACCTGTTATCGAAATTACTTACGAAATGATCAAAATCCAAAACTTAAGAAAAAACAGTTCTATTGTAAACAAACCTGTAATTGATGAATCTAGTGAATGGAACGCACACCTGTTTGGTTAAAGATCTCATCACTGTGTTTACAATGGTTTGAAGAACTTATTCACAAAAACTAAATAATAATTCGTTGGATTAAAGTCACTGAAAACTACGTGAAATGGATTTGACCCATACACGACAATGACGATCGGTACATTGGTCGACATTATTATGCGTTCGCACGGTGAGCAAAACCATGTCCGTGTTGTTAAATTCTGTTTTGTATTAACCCAAACGAGCATATTCTGATGACGATAACGGTAGAATTCATATCGAACAGACGTGTTAATCTTCTCTCGAAAAGCATTTCTTTCGTTGATTATTACGCAGCAACAGGGGATACACACAAATGTCATCTGTCATTGTTTCACAATGAAAATTATTCTTATTTTATGTTACGTTGACCGAATGGCATAATCTCGGTTCGTCTGTTCCGCCGAGGCAATCAGTTTGATTGTAATTCGCTCGTTCAATCGAGAAGCACAAACGTAACGGCTTGCCAAGCAACTTATCAACAGTTACAAATCATAATCGATATTCTATAGATACAGATCTATCCAGAATATATGACTTCGTGTTATAAACAATACATGTGAAAATACGCGATATATTCCTTTATTTATCGTTTTATATAATGTAATTCAATACATCGAAATAGAGGAAAAGTAATAGCTGTGAAAGTCAATGCACATAGAAATCCTAAATTTGGACTTTGTGCAGCTCCATTATTTGAGAACATCTTTGAAATAGGACCTTGATACCAATCTTGCGACATACCGAGGACAAATCCAATCACTCCTACTACACCAGCAGATATTGCAGCGAAACTAATAGGTAAAGCTTTTCGATCGTTCCATGAATTGAAATCATAGTTCTTATACGAATAACGTCGGAAAATGAAATGTTCTTCTAGCAGCACAACGATATAAATTGAAGCGAAGCCTGATACAATATCCATGAACGATACCAATACTTTATTGAAATTCTGTGCGGCCACAATTGCTAATGTCGTATACATCAGAGTGCCAACTATTACATAGTACATTCGAGGAATTCGTTGAAATATTGGTGAGATAGCTTGAGCAGACAAAGAGAAAGAGTAAATGTTTGGAATAGTACATGCAATTGCTGAGAATGAAAATAGAATGAGGAGAATTTTAGCAAAAATACCCAGAGATGCGAGAGTTGCACCTAATAATCCGCCAGCATTATCAACTTGGTATGCATAAGCCCATTGTTCATTGGTATAAGTGCCTGTATAAACAGCTGTACCGAGAAATTCCAAAGGAATTATCCCAAAGAAGTTTCCGAAATAAGTGAAAAGAAAAATTTTCATCTGATTTGCATCTTCTGATAAGTATGTATTATAATCGGCCGCTAAGACCGACCAACTCATAGCGCCAGCGGTACATGACGCGCCGAAACTTAACATACCATTGGTATTCCATGTGTTTCTCTTGTACATTGTTCTTGTTCTGTTCAAGTACACCTAGAAAACAGAGAAATTCAATTGATAATGTCGATCAATTTCGACCCTACCTCTTGTGAATGTTGAATGTCGTTAACACTAAGGATAGCGACAAAACAATATGCAATAAATACTGGAATCCATGCATATTTTTCATAAATATGAATCCACTCATAACCAGCAAATGAAACAATTATAACAATAATGGCTATAAGGAGAATTCCAACAGTTAACGGGATTTCATAATCGAAAACAACACGCAGTACTTGAGCACCAGTTATAACATTCACAGCTGACCATCCTAGAGCCGAGATCACCGATAGAATAGATATGACCGATGCGCCATAGTAACCCCAGCTGTAACGGATGATAACCATCGTACGCAAACCTGACGGTGGTCCAAAACAAGAAATAATTGCAGTAGGGAGAATTGCACAACTGTTGGCAATGAGAATTGTTAAGAATGATTCATAGAGATCCAATTTATAAACAGCTGGTCCAACGGCACCAATAGCAAAACATGGAATAATAATATTCATTCCGATCTTCAAAGAGAAGCGAAGCATTAAAAACGAGAAATATTTCTTCTTATCATACCCAAATGATAGACGTGTTTAAGACCGATGAATCAGTACGTTCTGAAGGTAGAACACGCTGGATGCCACGTTGTTCTGCATGAACGTAATCGAGAGTATTTAGAAACTTTTTTAATCGATTCGAATTCGAATTGAGTGATGACGAAGACGAGTTTTGAATACTTCGATAATCTTTATTTTGCCCAAGTGGATTAATCTGCATTTCATCATCATTTGATATCAGAGGCATGCTGGCCGATTGATCTTGCAGTGACATATTATCAATGGTTTCTTGGGATTCAAAATAATGATCGAAGTCGCAACGTGCAAATCGACACAATCACAGCAAACGAAATACAATTACCGAGGCGTAACATGTTACATGTATGAGAAAGTGAGAATGAAACGTGCGTTTTTGTATAAACATTTACATGTAAAGAAGGAAAAAAAAGGCGAATGATTGCTTTCTGACTGATGGTCGGTTGAATATTTTGAGCATTGCTTATCTATAAAAGACACAATCTAGCCCACAGAATCTTTGATATAAACATACACCAAGGCTTGTCGTTTTGCTCTAGCCGAAATGTTGACTTCATCTACGTTTTTAGTTCTCGAGGATAAACATTTGATCAGACTTGTCTCGTATTGAAGGTTGTTCTACGAAATAAAGACGTAATGGAAGTTAGCACCGGATTCGAGTATATCCCGCTGACGTTCGCTCCAGTACTTGGGATGTCTTGGGAAACTCCTGGGATGGATAGATCTCGTCATTCTGCATCGAATGGTGTAAGATAAGTGGGGGTCATCGGCCATAAGTGGGGCTTATAGCTGTGGGATATCCCAGCTCTGGATTCGAGTATTTCCAGGCCGGATTCGCTTGTGAAAGCTTTCCAACTATGCCAACATGCTTTCTAGATGCAACTCGACGAGCTCTACAGCTTTGGCTACTGACACGTTTCTGCCAGAACCTCTCTTCCCATCTCAAAACGCGAAAAACCACCATCAATGTGTGAAAAACCGAGTTTTCGTCGTCGCATCTCCTTGAAGAGTTGTTTACAATGAAACAATCATTGGTGTCACAATGATCTTGACTGCCACGATCGATTGCAGATCTAATTTATCAAGTAGGAACATTTTATTATCAAGAAAAATGCTAATCAGCAATAGATCACAAACATACAGCTACTTCCCTATTACTCATTGGTTCACCCTTTTGGATCAATGAGAATAAAGCAATGGAAAAAACGATACTTTTTCAAAAACTTTATCGTGATAAATTCGCAAAAACTGTAATTAGTGATGGGATATTCTTTTGTCTGATTTATTTTGTGCAATTGGGGTAGAAAACTATATATGCCCTTCTTTGGTAGGTTTGCAAACAATGAACCATTGTTCTGAGCTGATAGTCATATTCTGTAAATTTTCCTATTGGTCGAATCTTCCTGTTGAACAAAATGCATGAAAATAAATATTGCAACAAAAATCTCATTGCGAAAATTTTCTGAAGAATGACATTTTAAAATTTCTGCAAATGAAAATGAAAATTAGTTGTTGTAAAGACAAACTGGTTGAGTAGTTGACCGTTTCTCACGGTATAAATGTTTATTGACTACTCTACATGACCAGAATGTATCTCTTTCACAATAAGACATGCGCTTATATAGAGAAGAGGAAAGAGAGAGATGACCCGGAGATAGTATGATATAGAGGTGAGAGGATGAAGAACAGAAAGAGATGAACGATATCATTATCGTTACAACAACTTCTTCACATCATCTAAGTTCTTTTCGTACCACAAAAGATGAGGATGCTCTGATGGTAATGGTTGTTGTGCAATTTCTACAGCACGTTCACAAAATGCTAGTGCTTTGGAATTGTCACCTGTGCTCTTGTATAGATTACCTATATGTCCAAAAGATACGGCCAAATGCGGATGATTTGGAGGAAGTGATTGTTGACTGATTGCAAGGGCTTTTTCATGATATGAAAGTGCTTGTGGATAATCACCCATGTTGTCATATACCAAACCTATGTTGTTGTAAGTTGAAGCCAGATGAGAATGATTTGGAGAAAGTGATTGTTGACTGATTGCAAGGGCTTTTTCGTAATATGAAAATGCTTTTGGATAGTCACCCACGTTCTTATACACGTTACCAATGTTATTGTAAGATGCAACCAACACAGGATCTTGAGGAGAAAGAGTTTTTTCATAGATGGTAAGTGACTGTTCATACCATCGAATGGCCTCTTCATATTCTCCTTGGTTGTCTTTGATCAAACCAAGTTGATGATAAACTGGCGCCTTTTCACTTTCCTTCGTTGTTTGATCAAGTAGCATTTCGTAGATCTCTGCAGCCTTCTCATTTTGACGTAGTTTAGTTAGTAACTGGCTCAACCTGTGCCAACTCTCAACGTCAGGAAAACTCTGTTGTCGTATTTGTTCAGTTAACTCAGGTAATTCTTTGTCATTGTCACTCGTCAGTGTCAAACTCACTTCGAATAGTTTGTTATCTCCGCCCGTTGCCTTGACATCTTGAATTCGAAACACGCTGTGCATTGCAAAGAGCACTTCATCTTGACCTTCGATTGCACTAAGATCGCGAATAAAAGCAAATGTTGCTGTCGATTGTTTTGGATCGACTGTCATCACAAATAGAATTGCTACCATATCTGGATTACTTCTATTTAGTTTTGTAAATCACAATGAAACTTTCCTACCCTTACTTGTGGATAGGAAGCTGTTAAACGACATGAGTCCATCTTTTGTTTGCTTCAGTTGCTCGAAATCTGTCAATGATAATCCTTGTCCACGGTAGACTGTGAAAGTATAATCAATGTGTTGTTCCTTGTTCACAGAGTCAATACATCGATGTAAGTCATTGATGAAGAAACCCATTCGTGTCATGATATCACCATCCATCAGTCGTATTCCTCGATTCAGCATACGGACGAAGAAACAGTCAAAAGTATACCACCAGATAGGCGTTTCCTCATGGTATTTCCTTTCCAGTAGATTCACATTTTCCACTTCTTGATCATCATTAACGAAAACTTCTCGACAATAGTTCACATAATCTTGGATATGTGCGTTGTCGAATTGGATGGTCAGTAAAATCTCTTTCAAAATCAGGGTGTACATGAAGGAAGGATCTAGTTGATCCAACTTTTCACCTGATGCTACGAAGCTCATGGAGACAGCATTTTGTTCACATAGTTGAGCTGCTTGTTTGAGAGCTGCACAGATGGGTTTGATTTCTGTGAAAACTCCTCTGATTTTTGGCCAATCTTTTACCCCCCCGTCGTGTCGTTGTTTGTTACCATAGAAGATAAATATCGAATCTACTCCAAACAGATGATGTACTCGAGGTACAATATGCTGGCCAAGTGAATCAGAAATGATCATGTATACCTTGCGGTCTTTGATCGTTTTGATGAATTGAATACATTCTTCACCATCAGTATAGGCGTTTAATTCATTAACAGCGCGTCGAAGATGCTTCATTGTATTTTGACAATCTTCGTTGTTCTCATCAATGTTGGCATCTAACCAGATCAGCAGAACATTGTGGATTCTTTGCATATCGATGTGTTGACGTCCACGTACTTGCTGAGTTGTTGTAGAGGTAGTTGAGTTGTTACTTGCCATTGAGCGTGCAGTTTCGATATTACTAATAATAGTGAATGATGAAAATATCGTCTTTGAATATGTCTCTGTCTTCTTACCAGATGCTTTTGTTCTTTTTGTAAATATTCGTTGCAATGCTTTTTGATAAAAAATAATTTACATGATGAGTTATTCTCACGGTTGGCAGTCGGCGAGACAGGCACGACAAATGAATGTTTCTGTTAGAGAGTGAAAAATTGGGAAAAAACTTTTCGTTTTCTTTGATTTATGCAAAAGTATAAAAGAAGTACGTCAATAGCAAAAAGAGAACCCAGTATGTACAAACTTGATTTTCTCTTTTAGAGGTAATTTCAAGTGTTTTGAGTCACTGTTTACTTTTTTATCCTTCCAAAGAAGGAAAAAAGAAAAATGTAAGTGGAAAAGAACGACGAAAAAAACATTTTCACCAACTAGTGTTAACTTTATTTCGTGAGAGTGACTAAGCATAGTATATAGACACGGCAATTCTTCTTACATTTACAGCCTAGAACCATTTTTCATCGAATCTTTTCGCTATTCAATGAATTATGTTAACAATGAATATAAAATTGCTCCTATCTGACGTCTTCTATATTCAGATCATTCTTACTCAAATGAATTCTATCTGTTTGGATTATAGTGGGCTAAAATAAGTAGTGTACAGTTAGTTTTTTTCTCTTATTTATGTATTAACTATAGATAATACATTCCTACGCATAAAATGACTCCATGAAGGTATCTACAGTCCTTATAACATCGATTTATTTCTATAGTTACTCATTAGTAGCAATTAAAGAGATATAAAAACCTGAAATTATTTTAGTTTTACTATTGATTTCCATAGTAGTCAAAATAACTTAATTCCCTATGAATAACTATGAAGATGAGCTCTTTATGGCTCGTATCAATCATGAAAATAATGGTGATTTAACAGTGACCCATCAAAATAGTCACGATATCCTATTTCAAAACGTTATGGTTGGTCAACACATTATTGTCAATGTGCAGCAAAGAAAACAGGTTTGGTATTATATCCATTTGATACAAATTGTAAGAATATTGTACTACTTGTTTATGTGAACAGTGTTACATTTATCAAGTAAACGGTGATACTCAACATAATCAATTATTACAATAGTATTATAACATATATGGTGATGCAAAACCATTTGGATTTGTTTCTGAATTTGCTTAAAAAGCTGATGAAACACTTGGATATAATAGTTATTCACAAAATACAACAGGTTATTATATAGATAACATAAATACAATGGGTAAAATTGAACAAGAAGATGTTCGAAAAATTGTAAACGAAAATATTCTTAGCTATGAAGTTTAAACTAACTTAACTCGCAAAATAAATAAATAAAAGTTATATTCCATGTGTCATTGTCACTTCCACATCATTACACTTAAGATGTTGATGCACGAAACTGTCTCCTTTCACGAATATAAAACAAAAATGGACGTTCAGCTCGAAATACAATGTGAGGAGGTTGTTGTACTTTTGCACATGATAATGTCATTATTACATTCGTAGCAGCAGCAGCCGCTTCCGTATCTAGAAATATAGTTCTTATAAATTAATTACTTTGCTATGATAACTAAACCAGAACTACTATTTTGTTGACTGACGATACCAGAGAAATTCGCCTTACTTGTATCAAATGCGTCATGTATGGCAAGTTGTTCTAAGTCAGTTTTCAATTCAAATTGTGTTTCCATTTTAAATTTTGGTATATATAATAATATTTCTTGTGTTGTTGTTTTTTGTTGATTAAAAATATCTTCTAATAAAGTTGGTTGTGAAGTAAATTTTTGTTGAATTTCAGACAATAAAACACCTCCGTTTGGTAAAGTAATCCTGAAAACAAATTGAATATCTTTATTAGCACGTTTATAAGGAAAATCCACCATTTGTATACGTAATTGTTTATTTTCTGCATAAGGATATTCTTGTTTTCAATGCATTAATTGGATTTTCGAAACTATTCCATTCGTTTCATAAAAATTAGCATTTTGATCAGTTGATCGTTCATCAAACTCATTTATCCATGTGCCCTTGAAAACAAAAATTTTGTTAAATTGAAGAATGACTCTTCATACTCACTTTAAAATATATACAATTAATAATAATTATAGTCGTGTATTTCTTGTGATAGAACTTGGTGGAAGTTAAATATTTATTAGCTTATTGGTTTGTTCGCACTATTAGCCATACTCTCAAAAATTTTGACCCTCCTTTTTTATGATCGCAAATGAAAGAGCATCATCTAAAACTACTACACCCAAATTTTCAGCTCATTTGGACTTACCTTTGAAGAGTTATGAGCCTCGCATTGAACGGTGCTACGCTATTTTTCATGAAAATCTCAAATTTTCAAGTTTTTCAAAACTATTGTTTTTTGTCCACTATATTTCAATGTGGCATTGCTAAACTCGATACCATCCAGTAGAGGAAATTCCGCTCTACAAAACTGCCTATATGGCTTCTCTTAAAACCTGAGAAACATACCATTTTCATCATAGAAACTTTGCTTCGTGTGTCTTTTTTTTTCTCCTGTTTTTCAATGTAACCCGTCTCTTTCTGCCATTTGCAAGCCACCCAGAATGATTTCTACTGATTTAGATAGAGCAAATGAAGGGCTATCGAACGCCTATAAAACTTTTAAAATCAAAGTTGCACGAAGTGTTCAAATCTGCCTCACAAAATACACCATTCTCTGATAAAATCACATTTTTTCGCA